ATTCCGAAATCTGTTTATCAATTTCACACTGCTCTGCGGGAGGGGGGCGGACGACGCAGGCGCGCAATGAACTGGAAGTTGATCTGTCAGCACTATCCTTGTCTTCAGGGCAGATGTTTTTATTTTATTGGGCTTATAATTCTTTACCTAATGTAGTATTTCATCTCGATGTACTCCGTCTTTGATATGATTTAAATCAAATTCCTCGTCATTATAAATATCACGAATGCACATCAAATAGTTTTCTGGTTGCAATTTTCTAATTTCTACTATGCGTAAATGTATGATTTACGCATGCGCGCATTGAAAGAAATGTTTAATAACGTAAACAAATAAATATAAAGCTTTTTTTTTTTTTTTTTTTTTTTTTTTTTTTTTTGTAAATTTTGATACCCTTTAGATAATAATTGCTCTTTATTTCATAAATTATGGTTTCATATTTTTAATTTTTTAATTTCTGCATGACATCTAACGAGATTTAAACTGATTTTCTATAATCCGGAAAACCGATAATCTGGAATCGCCGAAGTCCCAACGAGTCCAGATTAAAAACTTTTGACTGTAATTCATTTTCTTCCCCCAAATACTACCTCCATATTAGAGCCCATGGTTCAAGAGCTTATTTCAACATTTGTGGCTTTTTATTTGAAAAGAGCTCTTTCACAAGCAATAGAAGCAACCTCTAAAGAAAACGAAGAAGTAGCCTCAATACAAGGCGAAAATTAGAAAATGCAGTTTTTTATTATTGCATGATGAACGAAGGGGGAAAAAATAGATGCAAAAAACTTTTATTGTCTGGTTAAAAAATGTTTCTTTTAGTTTTATAAACAGACAATAAAAATCTGTACATATTGTACTTTTTTAGCCTTTTATTATTTTCCATTAATTGTAGGTAAATACATAAATATTTTTGTTTTAACAAAATTTGGTAGAACAAATTACTAATTTTCCTGTAGAAATAGTGTTTCATTCAGTGCAAATTCATGTAGTTCAGTACTATAAAATGACCAGGTAACAGCAATTAGCAAGGTATTCTTGTATTTTCAAAGTTATGGGGTCCATCAAGAATAAGCATTATGGAGATATGAGAGTTTATTTGATTGATGTACAGTAGTGATACATCGTAATTAACGTGAAAAATTGTAAGTATGTATATTTCTAATTTGTAAATAAAAAATGGTCTGCTTCTTTGAACTTCTCCCCGAATGATTACCACTAGTTTGGCAACATCTTTGCCAACTTTCATGGTTGATATTTCATAATTGGATAAAATGTTTTACTCTGTGTTAAAGGCCTATAAAATATGCCCGCTTTTATATCTAAAATGCATTTAAACATTCATAATTTTAATTATAGCTCTTTGATTTTCAAGTTGATAAAAATAAAATTTATTGTAATAATTTTTTAGTTGAAATTCCATCTATCCATTTGACTTTTCTACCACGAATTGTACTGCTCAACTATCTGGAATTTTAACATCTCCGGCACTTGGCATTTCGTAAACTTTCTGAATATTCAAGCTTTTACTGTGTACATCTGTTTGTATGTGCATTTAATTTGATAAATGTGTCTTCTGCAGGGAAATGCCATTTTCCCTTCTCGATTTTCAGGAAGTAAAAATTAGTAAAAGATAAGGGCTAATATGCAAGTACATACAAAAATCCTTAGTACATGTTGAAAATTTCTGCTCGACAGATATTTTCAACGTGAATTTTCTCATACTGAAGACATATGTTAATGCTTGTAAAGTACTGCGTGTGAAGAAGTTGGTATGCATATCTTCAAAAAACATCATCATTTATTTTCTGAAATAGTATAGTCTAAAACATGCTTAGTGATGCTCTAATTTAAGATTTTTTTTTTTTTAAATATATCAAAAATGAGCTTCACTAAATGGCACACCAAAGAATGCCATGATCTAATATTGCATAAGTGTTTAATTCATGTTGTACCTGAATCTAAATCTAATAGCTTTGAAAATCTTGTAGTGAAGGTATTGACAGCTCCTCAGATATTCTTGTGTGAGTGTTTTAGATCATTTAATGCCTTGGTATATTAAGTCTTGGTATTAAAGAAAGAAAGAGCAGGTCTGACAGGTAAGCAGACTTATAGCACAGAGGAAGCAAGGATGATTGGATGGAGAGAAAGATGGCAGGAGGACCAAAATGCTGAATGTTGTCTGAATGAATTAAAATGGATAATTTGCATATGTTCAACTAGAGGTCACATTTAAGTTTCTTGAGAGAAATGAATGTGTAGTATCAGTAAAATTTCAGTAAGTAGGTGAAAAATAACCTTATTCAAAAATCATAAATATCTATTAATACATATCAAAAGTTCTCAAGAAATGTTAAAGATTTAATACCAAGATGTTGGCATGTGCAAAAATAGTTTTCTTTTTATCTGTTATTACCCTGCAAAAAAGAACCTTGGATTAGAAGAGTAATTATTCAATTTAGTTCTTACAAATATTAATGAATTTTTATTCATAGTTGTACAGACTTGTGTATTAATGTTATTGTGGACTATGAACAATTAGAATATTGCAGTTCAAAGAACTGAATGTCAACTAAATAATTCTCAAAACCTATACAAGAAATTTTCGATTATTAAAAATTATTAATGTTCTGTGAAATTCTTTTAATAATATTTTTATAATATATAATTCATGAAATTCTTTCTAAAATATTTGTGCGTTCTTTGTTTTACATAAAATGGTTGTTTAAATTTTCATGTTGCTAAAAAGATGATGCATCAGTTGAGTGCTAGAAATTCAAGTAAAAGAATCATAATCTTAGTAATGAAAAATACGAAAATAATCTTTATGGCTTTTGGAGGAGGGTCAGATAATTGTAGGAATGACTTCTAATGCCAATTAATATTAGAAAAAAAGGGATCATTTCTTTTTCATTAATATTAGAAAAAAAAGGATCATTCTTCATAATCTATAAACGTAAGTAGTAATTTTAATAGAAGGAATCTAATTTATATGGCATAACATTTTAATAATATATTTGAATCTTGGAATATTTTATATACATTAGTGTGCAAAACTTAAGCAACTTTCCTGATTTTGGCCATAATTCTGCAAAAAATCGGACATGAAATTCATACTAGAAAAACACAATATAGTATTTAAAGAATGAGGCAAGTTTAGAAGCCAAAAAGAATAAATGAATAGTATGCATATGGTATAGAAAGAATGGGAAAAAGAGTTTATTGACAGAATGGCCGTTGGTACAAAAAACTGTCTTGCTGAAAGGAACAAGAGCAAGCCAAAGAGTCTTAGTAAGGGATATGACTTCCCCTAACTGTAATGATTACGTTACACCATCTGTTGATGCTCAATACCAGAATATCTAACAGTTCTTAGATCATGTTGCCATCTCCCAAAAGTATTCCACACATGTCAATGGGATTTAAAATAGGGAAGCATGATAGCCAATGCATTCTGTGGATATTTTCACTTTCCAGGAACTCCTCAACGATCTTCCATAAAAGTCCCCTCAAGCATTGTCTTCCATAAAAACAAAGTTGGCATCAATGCACCCTGGAAGACGCATATGAGACAGGATAACTTCATCACAGTAACAATCTCCAGTGAGTGAGCCTCTGTTGAAAATGTGGAGCTCCTTCCTTCTGTTCATCTTAATGCTTCCATACAAACACTATAAGACCACCTCAATGGTTTCTTTTCCTGATGTTTAGGATGGAAGTATCTCCCTACCTCTTTCCATATTAACTGGTGCCAAGAATCATTTGTCAGATGGAAATGACTCTCATCAGCAAAGAGGATCTGACTCCATTGATGAGGTGCCCAATTTTTTGTGTTCTCTACACAACTGTAAACTGTGCTGCCAATATGCAGCATTCAGGACGATGGGCGAATAGGCCACTTTTACATACTTTAAGTCATCTGGCCATAGTAACCTCATCCAGTTGCCATGTGCAGCTGCTGAGTAATGTTACCTGCTATCTGGTTTTGATCTCTTTTCACTTGCAGAATATTGGTCATCAGCCACCATTGTTTTCCTTGCTGACCACCACCAACCTTTCGTACAGTTACACCTATCGTTTGTAGTGCTTTCTAAGCTGGTGAAACAACATTTTTTATCAATTCCAAACTCCTAGGCAGCAGACATCAAATTATGCCCCTCAAGTTTGCCAATCATTCTACCTTGCGTAAAAGCATCCCAATGTTTTCTTATAGCCATACTGCATGTACAATCTCACTTTCACTAGCAGAAGAATGCTTGGAAATGTGCCGATGCCTCACTTTTTACATGCTGCAACATAGCCTCTAATGTCGTGGTGCTTGTATTTGCATATGTATCACCTTTCTGTCAGTCTGTTTGGTCAGTCACTGGTGCCAGACGAAATCTTATAACATTTCCCATACATGATGATTGCCCAGGACATTTAATTGCACGAGGGATATATGCATCCTCACACTGATTACCCCAGAATGCAACTACTGCTATTACACCTCATCCTATGCCATCAATGCAACATTGACCAAACAGTTCTACTGAGTTCACTTTTCATTATACTGATTTTAAAATGCTCTTTTATTACAGTTTCATGGTTATATGTTAAGAATTTGTTACTTAAGTTTTGCATATCCTATCATAAATCATCTCATAGTGATCAAATGAATTAAAATTTCAAGCAGCAAGAGATGAGATAATTTTAAGGAGTCTTTCTCTCTCATATGCCAGTGTAATAATCTATGCACCAAAAAGACATCCTTTCTCAGGCAAATAACTTTTGTGAGCATTGCTTAAAATTAACTTAGAAATCATATGCTAAGGAAACCTCATAGACAAAGAAATTCTCTCTCTTTCTGACAGGAACTAATGGTATTTTCTTTAATAAATTAAATAATATTGTAAAATAATTTTTTGGTTCATTAAATCGTATAAAAGCATTTAATTTTATGTAAAACTTTTATATGTCCATGATATACAAATTATGTGAAACTTTTTTTAAATTGGTTTTAGGCACATGTGAATCACAGACACTTAAAACCAGCTCCAACATCTACAGCAGGAGCATCTGTATCTGCAGTTGCTCATGTAGTTCCAGTTTCAACTGCCGTATCAATTGGACCTAGTCATGTTCCAGTTTCACGAGACCCTCGTGATCCACGAGGACATTTACATGTTGATGTATCTCATCAGGCAATAATGGTGGGTCATATTCAGCATCAAGAACACAGAGAATCTGTGGACCATACAAGAAATCCAAATATACCAATGGGTAGCCCAGCAGGACAGCCACGCCAGTATCCTCATTCTCCTGCAAATTATCCAAGTACAATTCCAGTCAGTAGTGCCAGACCAAACCTTATAACCGTTCCCATACAAGATGATGGTGCTGGACATTCAACTGCACCGGGACCACATATGCATCCTCAGACTCATGTACCTCAATATGCAACTACTGCTACTACACCTCATCCTATGCCATCAATGCAACATCCACCAAGCAGTTATCCGCCACATGCATATCAACATCCACATCCTGCAACTACACCAGCTTATTCACAAGCACCACCAATGACAACCCAGACATTTACCCAACCACCTCCTCCAGTTCACCATCAACCCCCAATTCATGCACCAAGTGGGCCTATTTATTCCACACCACCTCCAGTTGTACATCATGCACCACCTCCCACATATACTCCACCAAGAGCTCCTCAACATGCACCTCGACCCTTACCTCCTCCACAAAGATTTCCTCCTTCTTCAGGAAGCTATGATGAAAATTCCTCGTATATGCAACAGTGGGGTCCTGGTGGTGTACCTCCACCACCTGCTCGAACTTCACTTCCACCTAGACCAATTCCTGCTCCACCTGCATCTAACCCAAATGTAGGACTCATACAGCCAAGAGGGCCCTCTGATCCTGGATATAGACAGCCTTACTACCAGTAAAACTATAATGATGAAAAATGTGTGTAAATAATGAACTGTTCGTAGTGTATTTGAAAAGTTGATTTTTATATGTATATAAGACGATGCAGAGCATTCTTAAATTTGTTAAGTATTGCTGAAAATGGAAAATTAAATTTTGCAGATTCCAATATTATGATCCTTTTCTATGTTAATTATGGAGTATTAACGTTTAGAATTTTTTATAAAAAGAAAATTAAATAGAAATGGATAATGTATTTTATAAGTGTGTGTATCTATGTATATGCATAATTTGAGAAGGGAAAAAACTGAAAATTTCAACAGTTTTATTTTGATTTTGTAACAAGACAACAATTGTACAAAATTCAAAAACAAAAAATATATTTTACACTGAACATAATAAAAGTAAAAATAAAACTAGCTCTTATTTTTGTATCACAACTTTGTCTCACTCCCTAGATATATTGAAGTAAGCTAAAAAATACAGAATATATCAATTACATAATGTCCAAAATTTTGGTTTCTATTAAAATTATTGAAAATTTTCATATTTCATGATATGTTAATTATCACAAAAGAGAAAATTATAGTCATGTTTTGAAATTAGCTATCATTCTAAAATTCAAATAGCTTCAAGAGCGAAGGTGGGAAGACATATTATGATAGCCAAAAATATTCAATTTATTTAGCTTATAATAACAGTCAAATCTAGTTTTAAGGTAAGTGACCCAATAAGCAAAATGATCTAATATGTAATATTGGACTTGGAATGGTGTAATAATTAAATTATACAACAATATGAATGGAAATTAAAACATTTTAAAGTTCTGTCATTCAATGTATGATTTAATAAAATAATACTGTAAATAGTAATATTATTTTTAAATGATTTGTGCACAACATGGGGACAGAAATACGTTTTAATAACTGTAAAATAATGAAATTCAAGATTAAAATGTTTTCAACTGTAAACTCAAGCAATACTGATATTACAGATCTGCTGTTATATATTATTAATTTAATCAATGTAACTGCATACATATATTTATTTAGCCAGGATTTAATATTTTCAGATGACCTCACGAAATTTGATTCCATTAACACACAATCTACAAAATCAGTTTGTGAAACAGATTTACATACTAATTACATACAAAAATGTTAAAAGTATTCAATAATAAAAATTACAAATAAAAACTCTTAAATTTTGTACATTAAAAAAATAAAGATTTATTAATTTTAACTTCATCGTGCTGGATGCCCATTAAAGCTAAGTAATAAAGTTGTGATGCAGTAAGCTATGCGTACCAGGTTTGCTATCATGTATTTGTCAGGACATCACCTACATGACAGTTTTAAAATTTTTCTCTTATGTAACATAAAAAAAAAGGTTGTTTCCTTTTATTACAAAGGTTTCTTTGAAGGCCTGAACAGCCCTTGAACGCTTTTCCATAAATACAAACCATCTTGCTTATTAATGAATGTATTACATTAAAAATAAATAAATGCAGGGCATTATGATGCATTTTGCTGCTAAATTGAGTACTCAAAATGCATCATTTTTATTAAAATCTAATACTGCAACTATAGTTGGAGAAAAGATTTTTAAACATGAACCTATAAAAGTACTACTGCATTGGCCTTTTCAAGCTTTGAACAATTTACTTTCTAATGCTTAAAATGAATTCAGATTTTGAAGGAAAAACTTTTAAAGAACAAATCTCATCGTCTATTGAATATAATTCAGCTACTTATATCCTTTTAAAGATATGTTCATGAATTTAAAATGATTTTATAAATATTTTGTTCATAGTTTCAGCCTTAAAACAGATTACTAATTTTCAAAATTAGATTCTTAATATGGCAACTTAGTCTGTCTTTCCAACAAACCCTTAATTCGAAACTTATCAAATATCCTGCTTAGTTTTTATAAAAAATGTGATATGTTACCTAAAAAGAATCAAATGTTCACTTGAATATCTTATATCATGCATAATCTTTATGTAATTCTATTCTTATACTAAAAAAATACTTTTAAAGCAATTCCACATAAAATGTCTTTTAAATGAATAACAAAGTAAAGATTTTTACATCTATCAAAATGATTGCTTACAGCACTGCACAAGAAAATAAATATAAAGATGAGTGTATAAATGTTTTAGTATGTGGGATGTAAAATATAAAAAATGTATACAATATCAAACTTCATATACAAAATAAGTGCTTCTTGTTTGTCAGTTAATTACTTATTCAAGGATTTATCATCAAAGTCTGAAAAATTTTTACAGTAATGTTTTCCTTAGAAATCTAGGTAGTGAGACAACTTTAATTAATAAGTGTGTTATTCACTAATCACAAAATCATCTATATTCAGATAAATATAATAGTTATTGTATGTAACAAAATCAAATACTTACACTGCTTATATATTACATTATAATTTTCATCAGATTAAATTCCAATCGACAAAAATGTTAGATTTTGCATGTTAATTGCTTTATAGAAAAGCACAGAAAAGTTTCTCTATTTGTATCTTTTAATTGCCGTAAAGTAAATTGAAAGCTGATTGACTGTATAAACTATTCAAAGAGAGCTACTGCAGAAAACTATGAAACATGACTTCTATTTAAATTTAGTATAAAATCAGGCTTTTGCCTTTCTGAATATCAAATTTTTTATCCACTTAACATAGCTTCAGGTGATTGAAAATAATGGTAATATATGAAAAATTTTAAAATATAAATTTTTTTCTCTACAACTATAATTGATCTAACATAAATATTTTTTGCTTCAAGTATGCTAACTCTTAAAAATCGTGCATATTTAAAGCATATAAACTTTGCAAATGTCAGTGTAGTGAAATGCTAGAATAAGAGAACAAAAGTTAGATTTATAGTTTTTTATAAATCTGATATTTTTATATCTTAAAGCTTATTTAGAAAATATAAGAATATAATGTATCTAACAAAATATTTTTTCTGCATTTTGCTTCTTTTTAGCCTTGTTATATGATGTTCTAGCATACAAACACTTCCGCAGAAGTAAACAAATTATGAGTTAAATCACAATTTAATTTATTTTTCGAATATCTGTTTACCTCTAAGACTAAATGAACAGTTTTAGTAACAGGTTATAAATCTGATTTGTTTGAACATTTATATTAATATCTTACAAATAAATATAATGCATACAGAAAATTAACATAGTATTATATTCCTTCATAAAATGAATGTAACTATGATTTTTAGTGAAGCTTGTAATTTCTTCCAATGAAACTTGTATTTTGATTTTAGATGAAAACTTCTTAATCTTTTATATGAATGACCAAATACATTTCAGCTATTGAGCAGTAAAACATTTAAAGTCCACTACAGCAGGAGATGAAATTATCATTCCAGTACATTACACTTGGACTCAAAAATTTTACAACCATCAAATATTATATACAGGGTGATCAGCGAATAAGCCCTGATTTCAGAATTAAATATCTCTACAACAAAGATCGATAGAATATGCGGTAAACTGTACGTTTATTAGTAAAATTGGTGTACAAAAGTTTATAAAATTTAGTTGTGAAAATCGTTTACAGATGGCGCTCTAATCGCAATGACCTATCAATAGCCTTTAAAATGTGCTTCGAAATCGAAAGTGATCAGTACAACTGTTGGCTAGTGAAAAGAGGCTAGCGTAGAAAGTGAAATGATGTATTCCATTGAACGTGTTTTTTTTTTGGTTCTGGAATTTCACCGATTAGAACACAGATCTACGGCAACACGTCGCAGTTTTAAAAACCGAATTCTAATGTTCCACTTGGACCCGATGCGAAAACCATTCGCAAAGCTCTTCGCGAAATTTGAACGGACTGGCAGCATGGCTGATGATCGAAAGGGAAATGTTGGGCCTAAGCAAACTATAGTTACTCCTGAAAATGCAGCCAAAGTTTCTGGATTTGTTCAGCAAAATCCTAGGAAAAGCATCCGACAGATTGCATCAGAGGCAGGTTTGAAATACACGAGCACACAAAAAATATTTAAAAATAGCCTACGGCTGTTTCCATACAAAATCCAAAGTCATCAGGCCATAACCTATGAAAGCTGTGCAACAAAGGGTTGACTTTGTGAATCAGATTTCTAACAATGATCGACAACGACAGATTTGATGTGAGCTGCATCTGGTTCACAGATGAGGCACATTTTCATTTGAAGGGAATCGTTAATAAACAAAACTGGATATTTTGGGGTACCGAAAATCCTCATTTGTGTGAAGAAAAAGCACTGCATTCGCCTAAAGTTATGGCATGGGCTGCGGTATGCGCCAGAGGCATTATCGGACCCTTTTTCTTACGAGAAACAATAACTACTGAACGTTACGTTACAATTTTGGAACAATTTGTCAGTGCTCAAATAGCGTTGGAGGATCGACCAGGTATCGACTGGTTCATGCAAGAGGGGGCTCGACCATATCAAACAGAGAAAGTTTTTCGCTTTCTTCATGAATACTTTGGGAACAGAGAAATTGCATTAGATTATCCACAATTTACTGACACAGGAATAGCTTGGCCTCCATATTCTCCCGATCTGAGTCCTTGTGACTTCTTTCTGTGAGGCGCATTGAAAAACACTCAATCGAAACAATCCCGCTACTCTAGATAAGCATGAATATCGTTGATTGGTGTTGCATGTGATTCCATTTCCGTCGAGACATTGCAAGAGGTGATGTCAGATTTCATTGTTTGTTTACGCCACCTCATTGTTTCGAATGGTGAACATTTTGAAAAAATTGTATTTTGATTGCAAAGGCTGCTTCACTTTATTTTCTTAATTAATTTTTTTTACTCCTTTCAGAGAAAGTTTTCAGTGCTGTGCGCCATCTGTTAATGATTTTCGTAACTAAATTTTCTAAACTTTTGTACACCACTTTCTAATAAATGTACGGGTTACCGCATAATTCTATCGGTTTTTGTTGCAGAGATATTTAATTTTGAAATCAGGGCTTATTCGCTGATCACCCTGTATTTTATGTAGAAAATTTTGCTTTAATAAATATTTAATGACAACTACTTTATTTCTGAAAAAAATTCTTTTTATAAGAAGTAATGAAAATGAAGCAGGAGATAAAATTATCATTCTAGTACAGTCAAAAGTCGTTAATCCGGACTCATCGGGACTTCGGCGATTCCGGATTATAGATCATCAGTTTAAATCTCGTAAGATGGCATGCAGAAATTATAAAATTAAAAATATGAAACCCGTAATTTATGAAATAAAGAACAATTATGATCTAAAGGGTATCAAAATTTACAAAAAAAAAAAAAAAAAAGCTTAATATTTATTGTTTACTTATTAAACATTTCTTTCAATGTAAGTTGTTAAGTTGCTTCGTTTTTATGTGATAATATATTCTCTTTATTCTATAAAACATAATTTCTGTTCAGTTACAAAGTTCCGCTGTTCAAATCCTATAATTGCTGTGTCTACAGACTAATTCGTCAATCGAAATTTTTTCGTTTTCAATAACCTCTGTCACATTCTTCGCTATCGGAAGCGAATTATAATGACGAGGAATTTGATTTAAATCATATCAACGACGGAGTACATCGAGATGAAATACTACATTTAATAAGGAATTATAAGCCAAATAAAATAAAAACATCTGCCCTGAAGATAAGGATAGTGCTGACAGATCAACTTGCAATTCATTGCGCGCCGCCGCGGCGTTAAAGATAAACAAAGGATATGCCTTTATCCATTTTTTGCAGCAATTCCACTTTTTGTTTAATGAACTTTGAAACATACTTTCGCTTTGTAGATCATTTACATATTAATAAATATATATCAGAAATTCTATTTGACATAATCGAAAGTTCAAGCTTACTTTTATAAAATTGCTCTAACAGTCTGCAAAAAATAATAAGCCGGATCCAATTCAAAGATTAAGGAACAACGCAATCTGCAACATTAACTGAAATAGATAATTAGATAATTTTAGCTTAGCTTATGCCGTCTGTTATACATTAAACGCGCACTCATAAATGTATTTTGTGCACACGCACAAGCATATTCGCAGCCGTAAAGGTCTGCGTCAATGCGACGCATGCGCAGAAAGTTTGTAGCTTTGAGGTCCGGATTATGGGTTTCCGAATTAACGACTTTTGACTGTATATATTTCATATATTTTATTAATTCAATTTATGCTGATATACTGTAACTTTTATATGCAATTTTCTTTTCTTTCTTTTGATAATATGATATATTTTCTAAATATGAATGTGTTTTGAATGAAAAATATAAAATAGTTGCCAACAAAATAGAGTAGGACTTCAGTAACTTTATTGTAGGGGGAAAAATTTTAATTTGGCGTTTCTGCAAATGATATAAATTGGAGCCAAGTATTTTAGTTAACACTGATGATAATGGTATTAATGCTGATCAAATAATTCATCATAAAGGCCACAAAATATTTCTTATAAACCAATACTGACAAAAATATAGATGAATGGAAAATATGAATTTGAAAAATATATTGGGTAGAATTTTATCAGCCAATGGCATAGAAAATATTGCAATTTTTTTAAGCTATTCTTCATAGATAAACTAATAGCATAACACTAGAAATA